CACAGAGCCATTTGTCAAGGGACAAAAATTGTGTGTGCAAGTGTCAAAAGAGGAAACAAACCAGTTAAGTAACAGATGGAAAGCTGCCTGAAGCTGGGGTAGAACAGAAAAAACAACGGGCAGTATAGGCTGCAGAGATGGCCTGTGACTGACTACATTGGACAGGTACAGATTGCAGACCTAGCACAAACATAAGCTATGAGTAATATATGCTCAAGTTTCTATTTAAAATCAATACATTGGCATTTAAATCATAAACAGTAGTCTTGGAAGATAGAATAAGAATCTGTGCAACAAGCCAATGTTCAAATAACTGCTTTTTGGAAAGTGCTTGATAGTTATTAAAAGTAAGGGCTGATGTTTTTTGCCTTTTGCTAAGAATTTAATTTTACATCATGTACTGTATAGAAAGAAAGTGAAAGAGTTAAATTTGATCTGGGGGTGTGATCCAGAAACACAGAGGAAGGAGTCCAACACCAAAACCACCAGCTGTCAGCCTTGGTCAAGGGGCTTATGCTAAACTGCAGCAGTGCGGCTAATGTAGAAGGCCCCAAAGCCTATTTGCAGACGTTGCAACTGGCTGGGTCAGCAAAGTAGAAGACACAGGACGTGGCAAGCAGTATTTCCATACAGTGAGAAAGAGATAAGAAGTCCTCCCTTCCAGAGCTGTAATTTTCAAAAACACAGCGAGGCCAGATTTTGGAGATCTCAGCAAATTCAGAACAACCTCTTGCCAATCTGAGTGCCCCACTCCTCCTCCCTAGCCAGCATAAGTGAGAATCTTTGTTGTCTGTTGCTGGTAGCTAGGTAGGCATTGTGGTAAGTGCTTATTCTTGTGCTTTGGGTTATAAACAATAGAAGGCTGTACTATGGACCTGTCTCTTCATCTGACTTAGGTATTGATACTCTAACCTCAGTGGTTCTCAAACTTTTTAGACTTCAGAAATGCCTCCATAATTTTTTAGGAGTTGAACAGCATCCCATTTCAAAAAATTAATTTATTACAGGGTTATCTCCTTGCACAAGGGCTGGGTAAGAACAAGCATGCACACCCCACACAACTCCTAAAAAGATCTCTCACAGTATCCTAGGGTGCAGCAGCACCCCAGATGGAGAATCACTGCCCTACCTGTTAAGAGGAAATGGAGGATCCCCAGGAAGTGTAATTATCTTAATTTGATGTAAAAAAAAAAATTAATAATAATAATGTTAAGGGAATTTGTAACTGTACCCTAATTCCATGCCTCAACTTGCAAAAGAAATCCTGATCACAGACAGGCTGTAGCCATCTACAGCCAATGCCCATGGAGCCATTGCATCCAACCCACGAGATGGGGCTTCAGTGGCATTTGGAGGTGGGGGACGGGTGTTCAGCTGCTCTTTCTATGCTGTCATCAACAGAAAAGCTGGCTATGGGTGGGTCCTAGCATCTGCCTCTAACCCAAGGCAGATCATTCCAGCCCATAGCCAGGAAGATTTGTTGATCGCTGGGCTACAGTCTTCTCTCTCTAAAGACTGAATGGTCTCAGGTGTTTGCTAACAGTCAGTCTGTTTCGAAGAAATCTCCATAGTCTCAACTGTACCATACTGATCTATTGTTCTGTACTTATTATATTCCTTTGAATTCAAAAATGCCCCCAAATTTACAGCTCTCAAATTTAATGGGAGTAGGGGGAAAACACACTGCACCCAAAACTTCAAATAAAGATGTGTTTACATAGAGACAGCCTCTATGGTGCAGAAGAGCTACTGTATTTATAAAAAGACAATTCTCTGTCATGTTCCCGTTTGCCCGTCTCCTGTTGATTTTTTTTTAAATGTATTCATCAGATAGAATCCATACAATATTAATTTAATATTTGCTTACCATTTTAAAGAGGCAGGCCATTTGGAGAAGAAATGTTAGGTGCCTGTTCAAGAGGTCAGAGGCTGCTACGATGTGCTGTAATTACTCGAGTGTGTTCCGACACACTGTAATTGAGTCTGCTGAAGTGTGGCAATTACTGCACTCCAGCAGCCTCCCACATCTTGTGTAACAGAGTCCCCACACTTAAAAAGTGGTGGCAGGGGCTCTTGAACTAAAGCTCATTGAAGCAAGACATTTTTAAGCATGGGGATGCTGATACACAAGATGCTGCAGCGCTTTAATTAGAGCAGCTCTCGGAGCGGCTAGCCACACTAATTAAAGTGCCGCACCCCCTTCACTCCCACAGCATGTGTAAAAGTGCCTGTTACATTTAAGTAGCAAGTCTTAAATCCAAAGAAATGTGATACCTGGGTAGCAAGCATTAGAATATATTGGACACATCTACAAGACATTGGAGATCAATCTGTCTTATCCAGTGTCTGTTCTAAGCAAAAGATCGGAGGTGGGTTGTTACATCTGGTCTTTAAATAATGTTAGACAGTGCATTTGAATAAGATACTGCTATAAACCAAAATGGAATCCAACACAGAGGTGTTTCACTTCCTTTAAATACAAAATAAACAAAAAACCCCACAAAACCCCATGAGACCCAGTTGTGGGAGGGTACTAGCCTGTTTCCAAAGTAGTTAAAACTGGCTGGAAACATGAAAGTGCCTCATGCCAACGGCACTTCATTCAAGCCTACTTTAAATCAAAAACTGCCTCCCCCTTGCTTTCTTCCATCTCTGCTGCTTGAGGAAGTAAAGAATGTGACCTCCATTGCTTTATACCAGGGTACTCAACCTCCAGCCCAAGGCAAATATGGCCCACAAAGCCATTGCATCTGGCCCATGGAGCTCCAGATTATTTGGCAGTGTGGGAGTGATGACCATTAATATGACCACCCTCCACCTGTCAAATTCCCAACCCCCAACCCTTATGTAGCTGGTCAGAGCTGGGCCATGCCCCCTCCCTCATGGGAACAGGCCACATTTCTTTCCCCCCCGCCCCCAGCTTTGGGATCAGGGCCAGGCCATACCCTATTCCCCATCCCCTCCCACAGGGCCCTCTGTCCCCCATCCTCAGCACCTTTTCCTGCAGGACCATAATGGGATCGGTCTGTCTGTTGCCCCTCTCCATGAAGCTGGATGGTTCCCCTGCTGCACCCACCCCGGGTGCTGGATCAGGACTACTGGCTGGATCCAGCCTGCAGACAGGCTGGGCACTGCCCATCTGACCGACCAGAAGAAAAAGGTTGAGCAGTGGTGCTCAACACATAGGTAGGAGGGGCAGATACTGGGTAAGGGACTAGCTTGCAAAGGAAGGACGAGCCAGCTAAACAGTGGAATTCAGAAAGCTTTTCCAGGAGAAACAAAAAGTCTCCTATGACTGGGGACACTGGTTCAGAAATTCTGGTTTTGTTCAGATGACATGATATTGGTACACAAGGGTGTTTTGCACCCTTACTGTTCTCCATAATGACACATGCTGACCTCATCTCCATCAACTGCTCGAGAATCTCAGCAGTGCTTTTAGTCTCAGGCTTGTCCTTTTTAGCCTCTGCAGCCACCTCTGGGAAAAACGTGGGATCTTCATAAATGTGGAGATAGCGCAGGAGAAACAGGTTATTCTGCCTACAAGGAGACAAATAAAGCAGTCACTGCTCAAGCCTGTAAGTTCCACCCTAAGTTATCATTCAAAGACATTGTGTTCAGAAAACAAAACAAAACAACTCTTT